GTAATTTCACTGTGTAGCTTGAAGATGCCCAGGAGCAGAAATTGGCATTGTACCCTTCCAGTGAGGGTGACTGAGGAATAATCTTGACCTTGGGCAAATGGAAACTGCCTGGTCATGTCTTGGGAGCCTGGAATATTGGCAGAAGGTTGGCTCTTGAAAAAAGTCCTTATATGCCAAGGTGGTATAAGGACTGCAATCAGTGAAGTGCTAAAAAAAAGTGTTGTTAGTGTGATAAAACCGAGTGCCCACATAATTGTTAATTACATGATTACATATGTGTGGCATTGAAGTACACCCACATATTTGTTTTCCTGGTTCAAGAAAGGATAGCAGAGATTGCTGTGTGTGTGTGTGTGTGTGTGTGTGTGTGTGTGTGTGTTTCTTAATCCTTTCCTGTAGTAAATGGTTGGCAGCTGATGCCCACACACTCATTCATTATGTAAATAGGACAAATATACCTCTTCTCCCTCCCTCCCCCTTTTTAAAGGCTCTGTTGTGAACAAAGACCCAGAGCATTTGCAAGCACTGGTATTAGATTGTTCACATCATTAGTTTAAATGAGATCGCAATTATGCCATCTGCATTCAATTGCGCTCCATTCAAACCTTGTCATCACCTTTGCCAAAGTTAACATCTTTTGGGGGTGTTTCTCCGCATTTCCAGCCTATTTGAAGACACCAGAGTTGAATTTAGGTTTCATTACTTAAAGGTGACCGCATTGTTGGATTTCCCATTTTGTTTTAAAATAAAGGTGAATCTGTCTCTTTTTGGAATAATGAACCTGATTTCTCACTCTGGGCTTTTAATAAGATTCTCTTCCCCCACCCCCCCCACCCATTTACCTTAGCTAATTTTATTCATTCTACTTTGTTATGTCTGACAGTTCACAAAGTCATTTAACATGAGCTCAATCCTTATAGAATTCAGATGCCCCCTTCCAAGTTAACTGTATTCTTACAGATGTGGAAATGAGACTGGAAGCTGTAGTCTTCTCGGGCTAAGATTGTCTCTAGGAATTAAAATTGAGGCTTCCCATCTTGAATATGTCTATAAAAACACAATTTTTGGATTAACAGTCCCTACTTTTGTGGGCTTATACTCTAAAAAGAGATGTCACACACAAGAATAAGGTATCTGCAATGGAAGGGTTAGAGGAATTATATCACATGACTCAAATATATAAGTCTTCGGAATCTGAAGCTTGGGTGGTCCTTGTAGACCAGGAGTGGGAATCCAATGGGAGCCTCCAGCCCCCTCTAGCCCAGGCCACACTCCTCACTAACCCTGCTTTGCACCCCAAGTTTTTTGATTCATTGAAACATGTCTGATAATTCTGATACAGCATGTGTGAGCATGTGCAGAAACTAGCCTATTGTACAAAGCTAAAATTTGCATCAATGCTCAGCATTGATATGTGGTCCTCTGAAGTTGCCCAGAAGGGAATGCAGCCCTTAGGTGTCTCCAGGTAAGGCTACTAGCCATTGTTGACAACGATACTGAAGTAGATGGACCAACTGTAGAGGTTGATCCATTAGAGGAAATGGGGCCCTGCCCCATCAAAATCCGACTGCCTTCAGCCAGCTTGTGACTAGCACTGCCTGTCATCTGCTTCTTCCTTAGTCCTTGAAGATCTCAGCATGGAGAAGAATGGGGACAGAACTAGAATTTGTTGGGCCTGACTGTCATTGACTCTTGCTCCACCTATTGTTGGTCTCCCAGGTTTCCACCCTTCCAGTCCCTAAGAGCCCAAACCACCACTGGGGACCAATGATCTGACTTCTTGTAAGGAAGCTTCCTATGCAATGGCAGGCATTTTGCCCTGCAAGTCAGCATTCCCTCCTCTGACTATCTTTCCCTGTGCTATGCTGCTGCATGAGAATATCACATGGGGTTGTGATGGGAAGCTCAGGTAGATCAGAGTTTGGTCAGGCGGTGCAGCAGAATTCCTCCAGAGGGGAGTGTCTCTCAGAGTGTTGGGCTGGAGCCTCACTCTGATTGGCTGCAGGTACAGCTAGTCAGAGTGGGGTGGAGACAGCACTCTATGTGTGTAATTCGCCCTGAGAAAAAGATTTGCAGCCAGAGAAGTCAGTCTCTGAGCTGGGTGTTGGAGTAAAATACAGTGATTAGTGTCTTTTAAGTGTGTACAGACAAGTGAGAACTGGGAGGCTGAATTTGAGAAAGGGGAAGTGGAGTTGTGAGGGAACTGTCTACTTGGCTCTCAGTTCCATAAGAAGGGAAAAGATCTTCTGGAGAGAGAAGAACAATTCCAAACCAGTTAGAAGGGTGTGGGGATCCCCTGGTCTAAAAGAGGAGCTTCAGGAGTGAGATTTATGGAAGGTTTGGAAACCAACAGAAAGTGTTTTTTAATATTCTGTTGCGAGCTGCCCAGAGGGGCTGGGGAAACCCAGCCAGATGGGCAGGGTATAACTAACAAATTGTTGGTGTTGTTATACCACCTTGTTTCAGAACCAAAGTATTAAGGCCTAACCTGTAACACCTTTGCAATTAGTTTAAGAAATTGAAGTGAAAATAAGCTGTGTGCTTAGAAGCCTGTAACATTCACTGAATTTAATATACAGGGTAATTCATAATGAAGTATACAGTTAAATGGAAACTGTATACTTCATTATGAATCACCCTGTATATAAGTCTACTGTTTCTTAAAAGAATTCTGTCTCCTGGCGCATCTTTTGTTTCACCAGTTTTGTTGAAAAATAAAATTTGTTCAGCTTCCCTGTGTCTCCAAGTACCAGAGTTTTCCTTTTTAAAAAAAAAAAAAGAGCCAGTAGGAAGCGGAGGCACACCTTGTGGTCTGGGATCCACTCTCAGTTCTTATAGAGCCAATTTTGTGGACCTCCAGATATTGTGGAACTCTAACTCCCGCCAGCATGAGAGATGATGGGAGTTGCAGCCCAACAACATTTGGAGGGGGGCACAGTGGCTACCCCAATACAGATTCATGGCAGGGCCTGATGGTCCCCTGGACATAGAAAGTTTTTCTTCCTCTATTTAATATGCTAATTTAGAGATCTGTGGTTGTGGAATCTTGTTATCCTTTGGAAAGGTAAATACAGAGCTTCTGGCGGTTCATTTTGTGATGCCCCTAGATTCCCTATGTACCCCTGTGCTGTGCACATAAAGCAATGGAGAAGCAGCATGGTGTTCCATTTGATATCAGCCTGGAACAGCAGGCTGACTCCATGGCTTATTTATTTGACTAATGCTGCAACAATTGCTATTATTCATTGTTTGTACATCTCCAACCCATGTGTGGGGAGGGGAGACTCCGGCATCACATTAACAAACTGTAAGTCGTTGTTTTGCATCTAAATTAACATTTGAAACTTATGGCTTTGAAAGGTAAAAGCAAAAAACACACAAAAACCACACACAAAAAACCACATGTCACCCTTTCCCCCGACCCATCAAGCCTTCTTTCTCATTCAAATGAATCCCATCTTTATCAATGATTAGAAGTCTGTTCCTTTCTCCACTTAGCATCTGATTTAACGCTGTGCTTTGAGAATCATAATGCCATCTAACTAGAGCAGGGAAGAGAGTTTTCGCTGCTGCTGCTGCTGCAAGGCGCCCCTACATCAAGGAAAAGAGAACCAAAGATTCCTTTCCCTGTTTATGACCTGACTCCAAATGATACACTCTGCTGGAGAGAAGGTAATTTAATGCCCATTATTATCATGCAATCCCAAGCCTTCTTTTGAAGCTATCAGCTTCAAAAAATCAACTCCAGCCACCTACGTTCAGTCAAAAACCTCAGCTGAGCTTTTATCCCAAAATGACACAAACCTGCTCTCCCCAACATATTTCTCCCCACATCCCTAAATTAGCCCCCCCCCATGTTTTCCCCCTTTCCACTAAACAACAGAGAAAAACATATTTTGTGACTCAAACAGATACATCAGCGGCAGAGAAAGCCAGGGAAGGAGGGAGGGAGAAAGGACATGCTAATTAAATTACTTAGACCCTTAAAAAGCATTTGCTTCCCGCTCTGAGTGGTGTGCAACTTTGCCGGCATGTTAATTCAGTTGTAAAGTAAATTATTTAAACTAATTATTAATAAATCATTAACTGCACATTTTTGTGAAGTGCTCCTAAGCTAGTAAAACACGGGGATGTGGTGCAATCTGTATCAGTAGGGAGAAAAGGCTTACACACACAGGCGCACATTATTACACAGGCTGTTTAAGGAAGCTGACGTTTTTCATTTCATTCTCAGATAATTGTGCAGGCCTCTTTCTCTGCTATTCATTTAGGCGCGCTTGCTGTTGATCCTGTGTCTTGGTCTCAAATCTTACCAACAGAAAGGGGACTTGCCCATTGTTTGGCAGCAGATTTGGACTCTGCCCATCGGTGGTGTTTGCTAGGCACAGGAAGCTACTTAATGCTGAGTGAAACCATTGGTCCGTCTAGCTCAGCATTGCCCACGCTGACTGGCACTGGCTCACCAGCTTTTCAGGCAAGGGTTTCTCCCAGACCTACCCAGATGTCAGAGACCAGGCCGAGGAGTACAGCTCCGATGAGGAATGGTGGGAGGCTCCCCCTCCCCCTGCTCCTGACCAGGATCCTGGAGCTGCCCAGGAGCAGTGGAGCAGTATAGATTTGGAACAGTGGTTTGCCAAGGGGCATAGTTCTGAAGACCAAAGTTGGGAAGGACTGGGGGGTGAACAGCAAGGTGAAGAAGAACTGGAAGAGAGAGAGCTAACAGACTCTTTCTCGCTAGAAGGTGTCCAGCCTATCAGTCCAAAGTCACGTGGAGCAGATAAGGTGGCTGCACGAAAAGCAAGGTGGTTGCGAGATCAGGTTGCAAGCAGAGGAAGTGACTAGGATGGAAGTGGGGGAAAACCTTAATTGGGAGCACCTTTGGACTCTTTGTTCTTGAGCTGTGATCATTAAAATCTCTTTAAATGGTAAGAAACTAATTTTGCTTTGTTCTGCTTATCCATGGCCAAGGGGGGGGGGGAGCCACTTTCCTGAAGCCTGACACCAGAGATGCTGGAGATTGACCATGGGACCTCCTGCATGTGAGGCAGATGTTCTACCACTGAGCTAAGGACTTTGGAGATGCATTCCAGATGGATGCTGTCTGGGAGACTCTCCTTGATGTGCCAAAGCCTGAGAGGATGGAGAGAGGGCATAGCCAGAGGCTACAGCAGTTAAGATGCTGGCTCCAGCCATAGGAGTACTACTCCTGGCAGCAGTAAGGACATCTGCAGCCATTCCTGACACAACTGGTCCAGGAGACATGCAACAGTTTTGTGGCCAAGGTGGCAATAGGGATGGATGAATTTGTCAGTGTTGGTTTCCCTCGGTTTCTCATTTTTGCAAGTTTAAGTTCAGTTTCGATTCCAATATCTGAATCAATTTGAGAATCTACAACCAAAAAGAACAATGTTTTGGCAATATGAGTTGTTGTTTCTCACACACAAAATACCTCTCTGCTTTGGAACCTGGCCAAACTTCCTGGGCTTGCAGGACAGTGGTCAAGATTGGTCTTACAGCAATGAAGAAAATGTGGTATATATTTTTCACCTTAGCCAGGACACTTAATTCGTTTAAAGGGTAATCGTCAACTTTGTTTTACTCATAGTAGACCCATTGAAATTAATGAGCATGACTGAGTTGGATCCATTAAGTAGGTCTCTTCTTAGTAGAAATGGTGTACCACCCATAAGATTTACTGTATATCTTTGCCCTTCATCACAATGAGTGATCTCAAGCTGGGTTGCAAAAAGTTAAAATGCAATAATCCAAGAGAATACCATTAAAACCATCAAAGCAATCTGTCTAGTTGCACTTGCGAGAGGTTCTACTAGGACACTACATTGCTAAGAGCTATCAATAACTATTATTTTCTTGTGAAACAGAAGAGACTGCACAAGATTTCCTTAGAAAGTGGGCCAAAGGAAGTACGGAGTGCCTCTTGGAGTCACTTCAGCAGCTTCTCAGAAGAGACACTTAAAAACTAGAGCTGTATGAAAAGGGAAATTTCATACCTTTTTACCTTAAGAAATTTCTGGTCTCTGAAGCCCATTCCTAAAAGTGAGAGATTTCTTTTGTTTTTGGAATTCTGTGAGTGGAATAAAAACTGAAACACCAGTGGGTGTTTGTTTGTTTGTTTGTTTGTTTGTTTTTTAAAGAAAATGTATGTCACTTGAAACCTGAAACATTCAAATAAAACACTGTGTGTGATGCCTTGCACTGGGCAATGCTATAAGTTCTCCTTTCAGGAAATAGTATATGAGCTATGTCTTCCTTGGCATAGTGATGGGTTCATACAGAAGGACCCCTGTTCTATCCTGGTATCTCGTGTTAGCTCAGCTGAGAAAAATCTTCTGCCCAAGACCTCAGAATGGAGGGTTACTCTGTCAGGTGACATAGATAGCAGGAGGCTAGATGGATCCAATTGATTTAAGCAAGTTTTCTTGAAAATCTGGATTTGGAAAAAATCAAATTCTCCACTCCCACCCCCAGGTTTTAATACTACTTTTTTAATTTCCCAGCTGGCAAAATGCATCATCTTCTTAGATGACTGGGCAAAATTCAAATTGGAGACTTTTCCTTTAAAAGGATCCATGAAATTCAGGTTAGGAGAACTACACCCAAAGCTCAGTTTTCCAACTTTATATTCTGTGCACATGTCAATTGCACAGGACTGAGGTGAGAAGAGAAGTTCCAGGCGTCCAAGTTCAAATATTGGTCAAATACTAGTCAAACATTTTAAAGGACTAATTTATTAGACCAGTAACAATGAGCAGAGAGAATTGCGCTTATATGGTTACATTAGTTGCATAAATTACAGTGTCCTGTCCTGTTTGGGAAGCTTGCCAAGCCAGATCGGAGGCCCTTATTTCTCTCATGGCTAATGCAGTGAAGCTAGTGGAAATACTGGTTCCTTGTCCTGGTTTGTGCCACTGTAGTAACCAGTAGGAAAAGCTGGTCCATTTGATTTAACTGGTGTTGTTGCAAGGAGAAATGCACAGAAGCCCCCTGGAGACAGCCACAGGGTTCCTAAGTGAGGCATAAATGCACGTGTGACCTTGACCACTGAAGGCTGAGGAGCAAGAGGCCCTCATTGCTGCCGCCGCTGTTGAATGGTCCCATGGGGCACTGTAGATTGCCTCTTATATATGGGTCTTCTTGACTCCATACGAACATAAGAAGATCCCGCTGGATTAGGCCAATGGCCCATTTAATCCAACATTCCATTCTCACAGTGGCCAGCCAAAGAGTAGGAAACCCGCAAACAGGATCCAAGCACAACAGCACTCTCCCTTCCTGTGGTTTCCAGCAACCGATATACAGAAGGATTAATGCCTCCAGCGGTGGAGACAGAGCAGAGACATCATGGCTAGCAGCTGTTGAGAGCCATATCATCCCTAGGATATTTAACCAGGCCAGGACATGGCCAAATAATGAACCAGCCAATTGACAATACTTGGCAGGCATTCTGGCTCCATAGCCCTGTGAAACTCTGTTTTGGACATGGAGCAAAGGCCATCTCATGCTCTTCAGTGTTTGGTAATGTTCCACCTTCTGAGTAGGTTGAGTATTCCCAAGTCCTGAGAAGAATGGGGTGGCCTCTGTTCTTCCAAAGGACCCATGCACGCATGAGAATCCTAACATTGCGCTTGAGGGCTGCTGCATCAGGGGTGTATATAATTATATATATTGATGTGCTTCAAATGTAGTTTGAAACTATGCAAATGAGCCATGAAAGACCCCGAATTGGTTCAGTAGCAGCAACCTATTCCATTTCAGAAATGTATTAGTTTCAGTTAATATGCATTGGATCTCAGAGAAACACTGAGACTATCTTTCAAGGGCTTCAATAAAAATTGGCTTCTATAAATACCATCTGGTTTACTTCAATGCATCCAAGTGTGGCAAAAGAAGGGGGAAGGCAGCAAGCAGTTCAGAGAAATTAAAATGCATTTGTTTTGAGGTGTGTGCCTAGTGGTTTGGGTGGAAAGCTTTGTTGGGGATAGTGGGGGATTTATTTATTTATTGACAACATGAGTATCTGTCGATTTATTTAGACTGCATTGTTTCCATATGCCAACGTTGGTTCCACTGCTAATGAAATGGATTCAGCCAAAGTGGGGGGGGGGATAAATGTAAACCAAGGAAACACATGATGCAAAAAATGAACAAAGCCACTAAAATTAGCACAGAATAAATAACTACAAACTGAATGATCAGTATATGCATATGTATAGGGTAGCGGTGCAACGGTGTAACGTGGATCGCAACTGCATCACTGAATTGTGATGGCGTAGATGAGGCATTTGTTTGCTTTTGCAAACTGAGTGTCTTGAAAGAATCCTTTTCATGTTGACTTGTGGAACAGACAAGTCCCAAAGCGTGCTGAAGCGCATCTTTCGGGTGCCACCGTGCTTCCAGCATTCGCTACCGTGATATCAAAGCATCTTCTTTGATATCACAGAAAATGCTGAGTTGAGTTTCCCCAACGGTGTGCTGCATCCATCCTACCTACCTCGGGTGCACATGCAGGAAGATGGCAGAATATCTTGCTCCTTTTCTTTAAAGCAGTGGGAACTAACTTTTTTAAACCAAGGGGCTAACATTCCCTTTTCGCCAACCCTCTGGGGCCACCCAATGGGCGTGGCCACCTCACACTCTTGCAGAGCTTTCATCCCACATTCTCGGCTAGTTCAAGGGCAAGTTTCAACGTTGCCAGGCAGAAGAATCCCAGGCAACAGTTGCAGTAGTGGAAACACATTGTGTAATCAATTGTTGAACAAAGTTGCATCCTCTTGTACAACAAGATTACATTGCTGCAAAGTGTTTTGCCTGCTGGAAAAGAATGACTTTACTTTGGCTCCTTGATCCAGGCTTTGATCACCTTCAGTTTAGCTTGGAAAGTAACATGCAGCCAGGGTACTAACGAAGCTCCATCATAATATGCTTCTCCTGATCTGTATTTGTCAAGAGGTGAGCCACCCCGATTCTTCACTAGCTTCCATTTCTAAAACATATTTGGGGGGCAACTTACACAGAGCAGATGGCAGCCATCTGTCTGTGCAGTTAGCCCACAAAATAGGTTCTGTTGGATGCTCTATAAAAGAAAAAGATAAAGGACCCCGACAGTTAAGTCCAGTCGCGAACAACTCTGGGGTTGCGGCGCTCATCTTGCTTTACTGGCCGAGGGAGCCGACGTACAACTTCCGGGTCATGTGGCCAGCATGACTAAGCTGCTTCTGGCGAACCAGAGCAGCGCACGGAAATGCTGTTTACCTTCCCACCGGAGCGGTACCTATTTATCTACTTGCACTGTGTGCTTTTGAACTACTAGGTTGGCAAAAACTGGGACCGAACAATGGGAGCTTACCCCATCGCGGGATTCAAACCACCGACCTTCCTATCGGCAAGCCCTAGACTCAGTGGTTTAACTCATCTCCTTAACATCTGATGGGAGGCATTCCACAGGGTGGGCATCACTACCAAGGAGGCCATCTGTAACCAGAAACTTAAAGTCATAATCTATCCCCTTGTAAATTGATGTTCATATACCCTTTGCAACATAAGATATAGCTCTGTAATAGGGACAGACACCTCTGGCCCTGCCAGATTGAGACCAAAGTAGAACGCTGACAGTTAATACCATCTCAAAACAGCTTTTAAAGCTTGATAATCTGAGGTGCCGCTAAATTATTCTAAACTTCTTGGTTGCCTTTTTTTGTTAACTATCCGTTGCAGCTTGCTGCTTTGGCATGCCGGCTTCACAATGCCATTACAGTTGCGGAAAGTGAGACTGTTTTGAAAACATCCCTTCGAGCTAGACAACAATAATTAACAGCATCGCAAGTGTTGAGAGGCAACGGGCTGATAATGACTCAGCCTAATGTCGAAGGAATGCCATTAATCATGGATACTACCCATAGAGTTTAGGATTTATATGCGGTTATTTAAAAAGCACTGATGAGGCCCCCTTTGCAATCCTGGATGCAGTGTGTGTGTGTGTGTGTGTGTGTGTTAAAATATCTCCTCTCCATATTCAAAAGAAAGCAGAAGGGAACACTTGGAGGAGCGTATCACCTAATATGTTTATTATTGCTCCATTATGCAGTTATTCACTGATATTCTCGGAGGATGGCGGTATCAAGGACAAGCAGCAGCTCGGTCTTTCTATGCAGAAGACATGACAGTTCCCAGTGTATATAGTGTGGAGGGCCGTAGCTCAGTGGTAGAGATTCTGCCTTATATGCAGAAGGTCCCGGGTTCAGTCCCCAGCATCTCCAGGTAGGGCTGGGAGAGATCCTTCTCTGAAATCCTGGAGAACTGCTGCCACTCAGTGTAGACCATGCTGACCTAGATGGACCATTGGTCTGACTCAGTATAAGGCAGCTTCCTATGACCTCCAGATCAGGCCAGATCAGGTCTCGGAATATTGGGCAAAAAGTACTTAGCTCATCTGGGGATGCATTTTCAGGAGTGCTGGAAAAAATGCCTCCTGTTTTCAGCAGATGTTGGGACCTATTGCTAATGCAAATTTGTATGTGTTGGTGCTGACCTTCCTGGTGCCATTTTCTGGCTTTTCCTTTTTGTCCTCAACCTCCTTTCCCCATGCCACCTTTTAAATGTTATTCACTCTGGCAACCCTTGTGATTTTTGTTCAAGCGCCTAGCCTCAATATAGTGGATGCTTGTTTACAAGGATTGCCACAGCCCATTGGATCAAACATTGTTGCAAGAAAATAAGGCTGAGGAATGTGAAGTGGAAGAAGAAAGGGGAAAGGTGCAAGACCTTTATTTAGTTTAAATGAATTTCCACCAATAGGGCTTTCAATGATGTGTGTGTGTGTGTGTGTGTGTGTGTGTATGTGTGTGTATGAAAGAGCAGGTCTGAAAGCAGCAATCAGCAGCCAGTAGATAACTGAAAACAGATCAAGGGACACGAGAAGTTCAGGTGGAAAGGGTATCCTAAGCCTGACATCCAGAAGCTAATAATGAAGGCACCAGGCAAACATGCCTATGAAGCAAGTTCATAATCAGTCTGCCATCAAAGGAAAGGAAGCAGCAGATGGTAACAAAGGGGTTCTAAACAGCATCACAGCAATGCAAATGTTCATCAAAGGCAATTTCCCCATCATGGACAGCCATGGGAATTTCTTGCTGCCACATCTCTTGGGTTAATCTGTTAACATATTGCATTTGTCTGTGGGTGTGTTTGTCCACGAATGGTCTGATCTGCTGAAATGGCTATAAAGAGGAAGGGCTCTGTGAATTCACACCCGAGATGTTCTGCTCCTGAAGCAAAACCCAAATGTGGCCATGTCACTGTTGGAGATGCAAAATAGTGGTGGCCGAATGGCACGTGCTATTGTTCGGTTAAGCCAATAATTCAAATCAGATTTAATTCATATTCTCTTTATGACTTTGAATGGGAAAATGAAGCACATTTGCAGATATTACATGTGGGTAAAACTGGTTTGGATCCACTGTGTCTTGAAGCAAGCCAAAGTAGAAATGGTCACAATAATAAATGGGCATTTTTACTCTTCTTGCCCTCCTCCTCCTCCCACCTTTCGTTGCCTAGTTTGAAAGTGGTTGATAAGTTATTACACTCTGTACAGGTGTCTTCATGATTCATTTTTTAAGAAAAGAAAATGTGCATATTCTTTTTCTTCCTTTTGTTGCACCTGCTATCATGTTCCACTTGATTGATCCACTCTAATAGCTATTTGGCAACTGACTTGAATCTTAACCTGCTGAGTCTGAAGCGAGTTTGTAGCAAGTTGGGAGGCCATCATCCACTGAATCCCAGAATGCCCGGATGAGAGACAGAACATACATGTGCACACATTGCAAGTCCAGTTTGTACTCAAGCATAGGTGTGGCAGGAGGCACCCTGCCTTAATGCTCATTGGAGGTGCTCTTTTGAGTAAGTCAGTTAGGGACATCTGCAGTGATCTTTCAGTCCATTCTTCACAAACAAATATACACACCCAAGTAGCATAGGAACCTGCCTGATTCCAAGTCAGATCATTAGCCCATCTGTCTCAGTACGGCCTGCACTATCTGGCAGTGGCTCTCCAAGGTTTCAGGATAAGTCTTTTCCAGCTACACCTGGAGATGCTAGAGACTGTACCTGGGACCTTTTGCAAATTGATAGATGGTTTGCCACTGAGCTATGTTCCTTCTGCAGCAGAAAAATCCAAATAGTTCCAGAAATAAATGTAGTAAATAATAAATCAGTAGCCTGGAAATATCCTGTAATATGCGGCTTATTAAAAACAGCTGAACTCTCATGCCACACGAAAACTTCCTTTTGAAGATTTGTTTTTGTGCAGTGATGCTGTTCAGAAACACTGTTGGAAAGGAGTCCTCAGCATGACAAAAAAACGGCAAAGCCCTCTATGAGCAAATCAGTAAAAGCCAATTGCAGCAAACCAATATTACCAACCTCAGCTGTAGCAGTTTAGAGCCAATTCCAATTAAGTTTTCTAAGCCTTTCCTCCCCATCTATGCTGAATTTTGTGTGTGCATGTCTACCAGTGTGCCAGTCTGGTCTGAATCTTGAGGTGATGCCATATTTCACCATGGATCTGGCTCCCAATTTAGCATGTTGCCATGCTGATATTTTTTGAAGTGTTTACACTTGTTTTCTGGATCCAATTTGGACCATGTTCTGTGCTGCTCTGACTAATGTTGAAAGTCGCATATTCCTCCCAAATAGCTCCAAAGATCAGTCATGCCTACTGGTTCTTTCAAGCTCTTTTAACAAGGGGAACATTTAGAATTGAATCAAGCATCATGGTTGGTTGGTGGTTTATATCCCACCTTTTTCTCCAAGTAGCTCAAGAAAGTGTGCGTGGCTCTCCCCCTCCTCAGTTAAATCCCACAACAAGCCTGTGAGGTAGGTAAGGCTGAGAGGCAGTGACTGGCCCTAGATCATCCTGGAGATTTGAACCCTGGTCTCCCAGGATCTACTTTGACACTCTAACCACTACACCACACTGGCTTCCCAGGATTGCTACCTAAAACATCAGCCTTATATCCAATGTTCCTTTCTCTCCCTGTAGCATTTGGGAAATAAGTGGCATGACATCATTATTTTTTTTGTAAGTCGCCATTTCCCCATCCCCCACAGTGCCCAAGATTGATGCTACATCTGAGGCTTTGGGGTGAGGGTGTACATAATGGAAGCCTTGCCCTGCTCCAACATGTGCCATTTTTGCTTTGCAGAATCAAGAATTCAAATGGAAAAGCAATGCTTCGGCTCAGCCCTAGGACATTCCACTGAAATAAATTATCTGCTTTCTATTCCACCTTAAGGGAATCTGAGATTCTTTTAAAAAATTGTTTCTTACTATGTCGGGGTTTTTTGAAATTGCTTTACCCAAATGCTGATCCTCCTACATGTGAGAAGCACAAGCCCATCAATGTCAATTTACAAATAAGATGCAGGAAGGAAGTAGCCCCTTTCACCTGCAGCTATGACTCTGTGAAATATGCTGCACTTCCTTTCTATCTCTACCGCTTTCCCCCCAAAATGGAAACTGTGAATCAGTGTTTTCGCACTTCCAAAATACTTAACGACTCGCTAGTGCACTGCAATGAGCCCAAATTTAGACAGCCAGCATTCATGTGCATAGGAAACACTTGATAGAGGTAGAAATGAACCTGTCGGGTATTTTAGATACACATTTCCTTGGGTTAACTTTTCCAAAACTCCAATATGGAGATGATCTAGTGCTCTGGTGTTGCTGGAGCTTAGGCCTGCTTTCATGCCCATTTAAATTGGCCACAAGGGAGCCCATTCACACATTAGACAGCTGCAAACCCAGGTTTGCCACTGAGCGCACCATAAACAGCAGTGCTGAAGGGGTAAATTTTGAAGTGCAGGAGCTCATAATGATAGCTGTTGTTGTTGTTGTTTAGTTGTTTAGTCGTGTCCGACTCTTCGTGACCCCATGGACCAGAGCATGCCAGGCACTCCTGTCTTCCACTGCCTCCCACAGCTTGGTCAAACTCATGTTGGTAGCTTCAAGAACACTGTCGAACCATCTCGTCCTCTGTCGTCCCCTTCTCCTTGTGCCCTCAATCTTTCCCAACATCAGGGTCTTTTCCAGGGAGTCTTCTCTTCTCGTGAGGTGGCCATAGTATTGGAGCCTCAACTTCAGGATCTGTCCTTCCAGTGAGCACTCAGAGCTGATTTCCTTAAGAATGGATAGGTTTGATCTTCTTGCAGTCCATGGGACTCTCAAGAGTCTCCTCCAGCACCATAATTCAAAAGCATCAATTCTTTGGTGATCAGCATTCTTTATGGTCCAGCTCCCACTTCCATACATCACTACTGGGAAAACCACAGCTTTGTCGGCAAGGTGATGTCTCTGCTTTGTCATTGCTTTTCTCCCAAGAAGCAGGCGTCTTTTAATATTGTGACTGCTGCCACCATCTGCGGTGATCATGGAGCCCAAGAAAGTAAAATCTCTCACTGCCTCTATTTCTTCCCCTTCTATTTGCCAGGAGGCGATGGGACCAGTGGCCATGATCTTAGTTTATTTTTATGTTGAGCTTCAGACCATATTTTGCGCTCCCCTCAAAGAGGTGCAGTGCATAACATCTAACTTAGTAGGATCATCATACATAGTTTAAGTATGTTCAGCATGACTGCAATGCCATGGATATCTGTCTGAGAGTAAGCTCCATTGACCTTGGTAGTGATTATTTCTGGTTCAACTTGCAAAATACACTGAGCTTTAACAATAGACCATTAGCAACCTTTACCCTTTTGATTATAACTTGCAAAGAAGTGTTATCATTTAAACTGCTGGCATGAAGTAGGAACCCACTCAAATAAAAGAAGTATCCAGCCACCACTTGATTACAGTCGTACCTTGGAAGTCGAATGGAATCCGTTCCGGAAGTCCGTTCGACTTCCAAAACGTTCAGAAACAAAAGTGCGGCTTCTGATTGGCTGCAGGAAGCTCCTGCAGCCAATCGGGAGCCACGGAAGCCCCATCAGACGTCTGGCTTCCCAAAATAGTTCGCAAACTGGAACAATCACTTCCAGGTTTGTGGTGTTCGGGAGCCAAAACTTTCGAAAACTAAGCTGTTCAAAAACCAAGGTACGACTGTATTTCCCTCATTCTCTGACTTTCTCTATGCTAATATGTCACAAACAGCAGGAAAATCTGAAAACCTCTTATCACTTCATTTATCTACCACAGCAAGGGTCCATCTGCCATTCTATCAGATAATCTAATCAGTCCTGCTTTTTTTGGGGGGGGGGATGC